TGACCCAAAATTCCCACCGTCGGGACCGTGATGGCGCCTAACATTTCACTTGCTAGGCAAGCCAATGTTAGAGAATCATTAAACCAAATCCTTATTTCCATTTAGTAAATAACAATAATTAGCTAAGATGAAATATATTAAGTGCGGAATAATATAAAAACTGTATTAATTACTACCACCCGGATCTGGATTCACAATTCACGAGCAATCTAGAATTTACTACAAGTAATAGTCTGAAAGAAATACAACTGTTTGGATGAAAGAAACAGTAAAATAGAAAAGATAGACGGGGACTTCAAGGTCTGTGAACACCGACAGATCTACCTTTAGTCTCCGGATAGCGGGTCCAACAGCTAAAATCTCGATCAACCCGAGCCGGTACCAAAGTCTACACAGAAAGTGCAGAGTGCAGTATCAGTACAACCGACCCCATGTACTGGTAAGTGTCGAGCCTAACCTCGATGACATAGTGACGAGGCTAACGCAAGGCACCTACAAATCAACATGTACAATTTAACAGTGTATGTATAAATAACAATAATGAAGAGATAAACAAGAAATATCGGGAGGGAGAAACATGCTGAGGGGAAATACAAGATAAAGAACTACAGCAGAATGATAGCTGGAATAGCCAATATACTATAAATCAACAAGAATGACGAATATAGTAAAGGAAAAATGCACGGCATCACCCTTCGTGCTTTTACTCTCAATCTCACCATAAAATCAATAGAAACGGGACGGCATCACCCTTCGTGCATTAACACTCACAATATGGCACGGTATCACCCTTCGTGCTTTTACACTCACAATATGGCACGGCATTACCCTTTGTGCATTAACAATCTCCCTTACCATAATGCAATGAATAAATAACAATAGGGAGATAGAATAACAAGTACAAACCTTACTTCAACATTTGGTTCCACAATATAAATCTCAACTTTGAAATAAATACTCAATTATTACCAGAAAATCCGTAAACATGATAAGAACGATCAATTTAACAACATTAGTATAAACACGTAGCAATTAGGCATTGGAAAGAGACAATATAAGAAAAACGGGAGAAACGGGGAAAACAAGTAAATTGGCGGTGCATAAGTACTCGTCACCTTACATATACGCCGCTCACATGAATTTCACATAACAAGTAGTGTAAGGTTCCTAATTCCCTCAAGTCAAAGTTAGACACAACACTTACCTCGCTCTGAAGGCCACTTAATACTCAATCACAGCTTTTCCTCTAGAATTCACCTCTAAGCCACTCGTATCTATTCAAAATGACTCAATAATATCAAATATTGTTAAAGGAATCAATTATATTGCATAAATTAAATTTCCCAAATTTTCGTCCAAAAAGTCAAAAAACCGACCCCGAGCCCACTTGGTCAAAACCCGAGGTTCGGACCAAAATCCATTTACCCATTCACCCCCAAGCCCGAATATATAATTGGTTTTGGAATCCAACCTCAAATTGAGGTCTAAATCCCCAAATTTCCAAAATTCCTAGTTTTTACCCTAACCCCTAATTCTACCATGAAAACTCTAGATTTTAGGTTGAAAATTCATGAAATGTAATAGGTAATTGAAAGAAAATGGTTTAGAATCACTTACCAATACTTTGGGGAAGAAAATAACTCTTGAAAATCGCCTCTAGCCCGTTTATTTTTATGAAAGTTGGAAAAATGGCTTATTCCCGTTCTTGATTCTATTTGATGCACTGGGTGACAATGTGCATCGCGTTCGCGAGGCCACTGTCGCGTTCGCGAAGAGTATCGGCTGCCAAGCCTTCGTGTTCACGAGACCTTGCTCGCGTTCGCGATGGTTACTCCCTACTGGCCTTCACGTTCGCGAGACATTGCTCGCGTTCGCGATCAAGGAACGACCAACCCTCCCCCAGGTCCCCAAGTGCTTCGCGTTCGCGATGAGCCGGTCGTTTTTGCGAAGGGTAAAATCCCCCATCACTCCGCGTTCGTGATCAGGCCTTCACGTTCATGAAGAAGAAATTTCAGTCTCACCAATTTACTCTTTGCATTCGCGAGAGTACCTTCGCGAATGCGAAGAAGGACATACCAGAACACCAGAATCTGCAGAAAAATCACATTTTTCCAAAGTCCAAACATCCCGTGGCCTATCCGGAACTCACCCGAGCTCTCGGGGCTCCAAACCAAGCATGCACACAAGTCTAAAAAAATCATACGAACTTGCTCGCACGATCAAATCACCAAATTAACACCTAGAACTATGAATTTAGCACCAAATCAAATGAAATCCTCAAGAACACTTTAAAATTCCTATCTTCTCAACTGGACGTCCGAATCACGTCAAATCAATTCTGTATCTCACCAAATTTCACAGACAAGTCTTAAATACTATAATGAACTTGTACTATGCTCCGGAACTAAAAATACGGACCCGGTACTAACAATGCCAAACATCACTCAATTCTTAAAAATAAATAATTTTCAGACTTTTAATTTTTATCAAAAATTCATAACTCGAGCTAGGGACATCCGAATTCGATTCCGGGCATACGCCCAGGTCCCATAATTCGATACGAGCCCACCGGCATTGTTAAAATACGGATCCGTGCCCGTTTACCAAAAATATTGACCGAAGTCAACTAAAATAAAATTTTAAGGAAAAAATTCTTATTTGCATCAATTTTCAACATAAATGTTTTCTGGAAACACGCTCCGACTGCTACGCACAAATCGAGGAGGGTAAAAATGAGATTTTTAAGGATTAAGAGTGCAGAATTGAGTTCTAAAACATAAGATGACCTTTTGGGTCATCACAAAGACAAATTGCACAAGGTATAAAAATAAACACAAGAAAATCATAACATCACATGAAAATCACCAACACCACAACTCTACATCATCACATATCGTCCCTGAAAATAGCCACCCTTATCTATCTTATAGCCTCCCTTATCACTCCTATAATAGCCACCATTATCCCTTCGCCCTGACAATATCAATAGCCACCCTTATCGCTCATATTGCCACCCTTATCTCTCCTATAGCCACCCTTATCGCTCCGCCCAAACAATATTCTAACAAATACAACTACAGTGAAATGCCACTCTTATACCCACATAATATCAATAGTGGAATGTCACCCTTATCTCCTCAAAATAACAACTCACACAACACAATAATTTATACGGGAAATTATCACGGCAACATAACAAAAATCAATTCACATCACAATTTGCCCAATAGCCACAACCAAATTCCAAAGATACAATCAAATCAATTAATTTCAAAACAAATAGTCGAAGGCTCCACACAATATGTATAACACCACAAAAACAATCAACAGAGATAGAAATTATTCAGCATAAAGTAAAGCCTTCAATAATCCAAATTTAGGTAATTATGTTAGCACATCTTCTTAAGCTTGCTTAATTAATTATTTGTATAGGAAAAATTCATAATGAAAATTAAATTCCAAGAATATCAACCATCAAACTCACGGAATTTACATAGATATACAAGTAATAATTACATCAAACTGTCATATAAAAACAAATTCAATAAATGTGATTTGAGGCATGGCAACTAGATAATTAAATATATGCCAACAATTATCCAATTTACTACACAATATTCCCAAGACTTTAAACCAATAGAATTTTTACATATAAGCCCGAGTACGTACTCGTCACCTCGCGTACACGGCTTTTCACATTTCACAAATGGCACATAAGACTCGATGCCTAAGGGGTAATTCCCCTACTCGGGGTTAAGCAAGACACTTACCTTTTTGAATTTAGGCCGATATTCCAAAATAGCCTTCTAGCTTGAATTGACCTCTGGACAGCTCACATCTATCCAAATTAATTGTACAACTTCATTAAAATTCATCGGAAACAATTACGGATAACAATACGTTGACTTAAAAATTTATTCCCAAGAGTCAACAAAAGTCAACGTGGGGTTCGCCTCTCGGAACCCGACATAATTTTCATGAAATCCAAATACCCATTCCGATACGAGTTCAACCATACCAATTTTATCGAATTCCAATAACAAATCGACCTCCAAATATTAAATTTAAACCAAGAGGGTTTTTCACAATTTTTCCAACTAAATTCACCGATTAAATGTTAAAAACAACCATGGATTCGGGTAATTTAACCAATATTGAGTTAAGAACACTTACCCTGTTGTTTTCTCTGAAAATCTCCCAAAAATCACCTCAATCCGAGCTCCAAATCGGAAAAAATAGAAAATGGGACGAAGTCCCATTTTCAGAACTTAAACTCTCTGCGCAGTGATTTCATCTACGCGATCGCGAACTTCCTCACCCGATCGCGAAGCATAATTTCAACACTGCCAAAATTAACTCTACGCGATCGCAGAAAGTCCCACGCGATGGTGAAGCACTGACTCCGCTACCTTACGTGATCACAAACAATGCCACGCGATCACGATGCGCAGTGTTCCCAGCTCTACGCGATCGCAGCCCTCTTCACGCGTTCGCGAGTCACCAACTCATTTTTAAGCCAAAATAGCTTTTAAGCCATAAGTTAGGAATTATAGCTTTTGGTTTTTGATTTGTTTTTGTCATTTTAGCTTAAAAACAAGTGCTTAAAAATACTTATTTACTTTATTCAAACACTACAAAATGATTTAAAAGCTATTTTGACTTAAAAACACTTAAAATAAGCAAATCCAAATGGACTCTAATAAAATTATAAGGGTAATAAGGCAAATGGGTTGGTCAAACTTCAAGTGTGTTTAAGCCAAAAAATAATAAGTTGGGGACCAACTTATTTAATTGGGGACCAACATATTACTTTTGGCTTATTTTAAGTTATTTTGACTTAAAAACTATTTTTGATATTAGCCAAACACTAAAACACCCAACTTATTTAATTGGTGACCAATTTATTATTTTTGGCTTGTTTTAAGTTATTTTGGCTTAAAATCTATAACTTTTAACCCAATACAAACATCCTCTGTTAAAACGACCCTCGACTGGCGCATCCTATAAAATCAGATTAGCCAGACTAAAAAAGAGCTTCATTCCTTGATCCTTCCTTTGCCGGGACTCAAAAATTTCAGTCGAGACATAAACTATATTCGGAAACCCTAATTTTTTTCTTCTATATAAATGTAATTGAACCCTTATCATCCCTGATTTTTTTTGTGATTAATACTTTTTAATTTGTTTGGAGAAATTCAAATTCCTTGAGAGATGGATATCGAACAAAAACAAGCGGAGCACATCGACTACTTTGTGAAACAAGCATCAGCACTCAAGGGTTCTGCCCTTAACAACGTGATTAGTGAAGCCACTTCGCATCCCTCACTTTTCGCTTTCTCTGAGATTCTTTCTGTTACCAACGTTGTTGAGGTTCCTGCTTATTCTTTCTGCTATTGATTTGATTTGATTGGATTTTATTTTTCTGATTTGGGTTAGTCGGTTTTGTGTCGAATTGTTTGTATTTCTGTGTTTTTTTTTCTAGGTTTCATGGTATTTACAGTACACATTGTGTTGTGTTTATGTTATGTTATTGCTTTGGTAATATCCAGAATATGATGGCATTTTTTTCTGATAATTTGGTTAGTGGGTTTTCATGTCACATTGAATCACTTGCTTGTTTACTGTGTGCCCCCTTTATGTCAGTAGAAAATAAAGAACATGTAGTGTCGGAACCCCAAGTAATTGAATATTGGAATCAAAACCCAGCACACTAAGTGATTTTGTGGGCATAGTTACAGCAGGTATTATGTTGGATTAGTCTGTGGTACGCGAAAACTGGTCCAGCGCTGCTGTTATAAAAAAGGTATTTGAATATTGCAATGAAATGTGTCTAAATAGAGTTAAATGTATAGGGAGAATTCATAAAGCCGACAATAACTTGTATTAATTTGAGAAAAAATTGGGGATATCCCAGAATAGGAAAGCTTTGTTTAAGCTGGGATGGAAGGGTGAAAGGACAACAATGTTTTGCTAATGAGCTACACACTCTTGGTCAATTAAAGGCTGCACATTGAAAATTAAATAGCCTATATGTGTTAGGTTATGGGTAAATATTGCTGCAAAGATAGTACTTCATCTTCAGATAAAGTACCAGATGATATTCAAAGTACAAAAGGAATGAAAATCAGGAAATGCAGAGTGGAAGTACATAGAATCGAGATACTACAAAATTGAACAAATTTTAGGAGAGGTTAAGGAAGCATAGTGGGTGCAGTAGATTGTTGAGGAAACAACTTGGATTTGTCCTCCAAATCCCATCAAGTTCAGAGCATAAAGCCCTAAGCATATTGAGATGGGTATTATCCCAGGTTGTGATTCTCTTTAGAGTTCCTTTATGCAATTAGATATAAATCTGGGAATAAGTGCACCTTGATATGCTATTGGCAAGTTGTGTTGGTAACTCTCTGTTGCCATGTTGCTGTATGTACACTTTAGGATCCCTTCCACATTTGCGGCTAATTTGTTTTTTTGTTGGACCCGTATGCAGCTTGAAGGAACTGAAAATTCAATATATCTTGATTTGCTTCGTTTGTTTGCTCATGGAACGTGGAGTGATTACAAAAGTAAGCATACATTTTTACATCTGATTCACTTCTTTTTTACTGGGTGGGGCGGGACAGCGAGTAGCTGATTGGATGGGATTTTCATGTTTGAGATTTCAACAATGTTCTTTTTATGCTGTTTTTTTTATTTATGAAAAGTTCTTTTTATTGCTTTTATGCCATTTTATTTGTAACTCTTCATCTGCCCGATGTCAGATTAAATGCCTTAAGTTTTATAGTATGGGGAACTTGTACCTTATCAGCTTGAGATATTTTTTGACACTAAAAGACTGCTTTTTTTTCCACCTGTATAATATCTTGAGGATTCTTCTAATTGTTAAACATCACATTAGTACAATGTTGTATCTCCAAAACTGAGTATATTACTGGCTGGAAAGTTATTTAGGGCACGACTTAGCTGCCCTTTCTACTGCTGTGAACTCCATGGGTGAGTAACACTGTTACATCCTTAACTATGCAGTGCTCGATGTCACTTACCTTAATGGAAAAAGGTTTAATGATAGTGCTAAATTTCCACTAGAAAGTGGGACTCGGTTTATTTTTCTTAAAACTTCTCTTGAGTGACAAGTGTCACATTTACTCTTTCTCTTTCATAAGATAGACAATCTTAGCATTGATTTCCTTCTATTGATCCTAGTGTGAAAGGGATGGAATTTCATCTGCAATAATAAGTGCTAAACATACAGATTAGGGAAAATGTTTGTGAATTGCCCATGAACATATTACCGAAGAGGGTTGTCTTGTAAGGGGAAGATTATGTACTCCTGAGTTCTGTGTTAAATGCATTTCAAATTTGTCAGTTTTAGCATGTATGTGGTTCTATAGGTATTGCTGGCCGTCTTCCTCAGTTGGTGCCTGATCAAGTTCTCAAGTTGAAGCAGCTTACTGTGCTTACGCTAGCTGAGACAAGCAAGGTACAATATATTGAAATGTAATAAACTTTTGGCATTTTAATTTATCCTTTGGTGAAAGTGAGCAATTGATGCATCCTTATTCACATCCTTTCTTCAGTTAGTTATTGCTAAAATTTCAAAAATGAAGCTTGTAATGAATGAGAGAAATGTCTTAGCTTTCTGATGCTTGTTTGTTGGAACTTTTGAATTTTGTTTTTGGTAACTGATCAGGATAATGGATACAATCTATTTATTGTTAAATTTAAGACATTGACGTTGGATTGAATCAGTATTCTTGAAGTTGTTTGCTTAGGCCTCCCTGAGTTTGAATGAGTTCGTTGTTGCTTCCTTCTTTTTGTTGCTGTGTAACATTTGAGTGTTTCTTCAACCAACATAAATAAAGTACTTCATTGGCGATGACTCAAATAATGCCATTCAAGTAAATAATGGGATACTTTGTTATATGCCTACTTTGCTCAATGTAAACAGCTATATATCGTACTATTCATGAGATATTTCCTGTGACTTGCATGATTAGCATATCTCTCAAGTACATTTCTCATAGCGGAATGGAATAAAGTTTATGCATTATTTTTTCGAGTCTTTGACATTCTTTTTTGTGTTTCTTCACTATAAACTGTTCATATATCAAAACCTTTGATGTTCATGTTGAGTACTTGTTTGACTTCTGTTTCACTGATATCGTTTGTTGTTAGTCACTGCCAATAATGACTCCTTTCGTCTTTCCAGGAGCTTCCATATGATCAACTTATGCAGGAGTTGGATGTCACAAATGTACGTGAACTTGAAGATTTTCTCATAAATGAGTGCATGTATGTGGTGAGTATCAGCTCTCGTCCATGGATCATTGTGTTATTAATGGAGGTACCATTGTACTTTCCTCTATTGAAAGTGTGTTGGGCTAAAGTTTATTGTTGGAATTTGCTTCTGCTGATGTTCAAGTGGTAGTTTTTTGCCTTCTGGATAGAAGTTCAACTTNGTGGGCTTTGCTGCTAATAATTGATTTAATGTTTCAGTCTCTTGTTAAAAAATTCACTAACTCCCATCTTTCTGTATCCATGGATAGGGCATAGTTAGAGGAAAGCTTGATCAGTTGAAAAGATGCTTCGAGGTTGGTACTATGCTTTTGCTGTTTTGCCAACTCTTGGTTGCAATGGGCTGACATAGGGTAATTAACTGTCATCATACAACTATAGGTACAATTTGCTGCAGGGAGGGATCTCAGACCTGGTCAATTGGGGAATATGCTACAAACTTTAACTGACTGGTATGCTTATGTTTTTTTCCTTCAAAAGGGGTTATGTTTATGCTTTTATCTAGATGGGTCTAATTGCAACGCCATTGTATCTTATCGTATTTTCTGAGTGTGAGTATATTATTTAGTTATTTCTTTGCGGGCTTGGGGTTGTGTATTGATCCTTCTTGTCGAGATTCTGTTGTCCTATTTATACAGCAAATATCTTCTGTCCACAAATAGCTGGTCTTAAGAGTTGTTGTTGAAGTCCTTTTTCTGTATTTCTCCTCCATGTCTTGATCTCCTGTGCTTCATAATGACTTACTGAGCTGCAATTTGTAAAGACTGCTGTTTTTCTTTCTTTCTTAAAACAAAGCAGTCAGCTAGGTTATAGGAGTGATTTGAGTTACACCTGCTTATGGATCTTGCCATTTTTCCAGTTTAACTTATAAGAACTTGGCGTTTAGTGGAAACATATCTATGTAATTTCAAGTAGAATTCTTACTTATCAAAAAAAATTAAGCTGAAGTTCCTTTTCAAAAAAAATAAAAAATAAAAAAATTAAGCTGAAGTCTTTAAATTTCTCAAAGCAGGATACCTAAAAGGAATGCTCTGATTTTTGAAAAAATTTCAACACTGGGTACCTAAATAAGATAAATTATGTATATCTATCACCGGATGAGAAATAAAGAAGTAGATGCTATTAGTAGATTGAATAAGCATTTGATGAAGGAATTCTCTTCAATTAAGTAATTGAAGGGCAGAGAAGCAGTTAGTGAAAAAGTTGAGTTCAGTCACCTTATTTTTATCATTCTTCTTTATTCTTCATCATTTCTTTTTCCCTTTTTAAGAAAAGTGAGTGCAGCCTGTTTCTATTTGGTTATGGAGATGCCATTGTTGTTGACCTACAATGTTGATGAGCATATGGCATATAGAGATTTAGTTGCTGTTATTTGAAGTTCAGCACTGCTGGTAAAAAACAAGAAAACTTTTTAGGACTATGGGATAGGATATGTAGATTGCAGTGTTTCTGGTGAAGCGCTTATATAGTAAGTTAGGGGGGAGGTGTTTCCTCACATGGATAGGCAACCAGGGTCCCAGGAAGACATGAGTTTCCAGTGGAGGTTCGGTTTTTTATTGAAGTAGGATTTGATTAAGGAAGATGGGCAGAAAATTTGAAGGCTGAGTTTTGGTTAAGGAAGATGAAAACATGAAGATAGGCTTGAAGACTGAGATTTGATTAAGGAAGATTAAACATGAAGATGTCAAAAGTGAGTGACTGTTCATTGGAACTGTTACAATCCGAATACTCATAAGGTAGGGTCAACGCCCCCTCCCCCCAAACTGCACTTGCAAGTTTCCCCGCAAAAAGCTCTTGTCTTCTTTGACCCATGAGTGCGAATCGGTAGCTGTGAAACTTGCTCTGGCTTGATGAATGCCTTACTTTTAGCTTTTTCCTGGGGCATAAAAAGAGTTTATGCTGGTCGAGGTAAAAGGATTTAGGAATTCATACCCGGTTCAAGGGAAAAAGCAAGGAACTTTCAACTGGCATGTTATGAGAGGAAAGAGACCAGCCTTAGGCCTCTTTACCTTATAGATGTGTCAAAGACCGTTGCCTTAGGCCTCTTTACCTTATAGATGTGTCAAAGACCGTTGCCAGCTACTGCTTGTCGCAAACAAGCCCTTCCCTTCTGGACTAGGAGTGAAATGCCCTCGATCGATTAAGGGCTAAAAGCCGTAATGAAGACTGAGATTTGAAGAAAGAGTGAAGGTTTTTGGCTGGGGGGTCTTGCCTTTGATCAGTTCATTGTCTTATTGCCGGAGCTTGAAATGCAGAAGGTAAGGCAGGCAGCATTGCATATGCTGGTGTGTTAGCTCAAAGATGTTGGCCCCAAACAGGAGGAGGAAAAGGTTGGGCCCTGCTGTCCAGTGCGGAAATGTTGTGGGGTTCTGGGAATTCTGCTCCTTGCTTTTAAAAGGTGAAAAGTTGAAAGGTGTTCGACTTTTCAAGGGAAGAGCCAATAGTTAAATGTTTGTGGTTGTTGAAAATGTCAAAAGAAAACAGGGTAGAATGAGGTTTTTGGGGCATGGGGCACTCGTGGTTCTTGGGGTACTTTAATTTGAGCGGACTTGGAGACATGCAACAAGTCATTATCTCGTTGGATCATTTTGCGCCTCCTCTTTGGCTTTTTCTATAACTTAGTTGCATTCATGTTGGGTTCTATTTTCTACCAAAATTTCCATGTCTAGCTACCAAAAAATTGTTAAGTTCAGATTTATGTTTGGATGAGTCCTTGTGGAGTCCTTGTGTCTGTTGAATGATTTAGTAGTCAAGAAATTGGATAAGAATGAAATTGTGTCCTGCCCAGGTCATGTTTGACGCAAAGTTGTGCTAAGAGCGGTCAACACAAACTTTCCTAGATGATGGATCTCTGTCCTCTAGTTTAGGAATATAGACTAGATTTTAACCCCTTATTAGTAGCCATTTTGACATAGAAGCATATTATTCCTTACCTGTTCTGGTTTTAAGGTTAGTATCAAATGAATCAACCCATTAACAAGTCCATCTTGGACCTCAATTTTGGAAACATCATTTTGCCAACGTTATTCATCATGTCAAGATGATCATCCATTTTATTTGAGCTAATAATGAAGGCATCCCGCCAAATTCATGTCAATTTACACAATGGTTATATATACTTTTTTTTTTCTCGATAAGCATATATACTTGTGTGCTCTTCTTGCAACTATGAACAACACAACTTTGGCAATGTAAATAGTAACTGCCGGCTGAAATTATGTGATAATCTGACTTACTGAGTACAGTCCCACTCAACTTTTTATGCACATAAATCAAATGTAAATTGAGTCTGTGGAGTTGAGGTATACCACTGTAGTTAGGCGAGGGATAAGATTATAGGTGTTTGACATTTTTCTGTACAGTGTGGTGTTACTCTGGTGAACCTGGTGTATGCCTCTTACAATGAGGAGGGCCTTGTGAACTGTGAATGTTTTCCATGCAAACTATGAGACTTAGCCATGATGATTAAAAATAGCTGTGAAATTTAACTGTAATTTTTCAACCTACTTGCTAATTCATTTCATTTTTTTGATGAAAAACATAGGTTGACTACATCAGACAATCTTCTTATCTCAATTCAAGAGAAAATCAAATGGGCAGATACAATGAGTGAATCTGACAGGAAGCACCGGAAGGAAGTTGAGGAAAGGGTTGACGAAGTGAAGAAGTCACTCTCTTTGAAGGTGAGTCAAGTATTGTGTTTCAAAAGATGAGCTCTATGTTAATTCTAAACCATATATGGGCTTTTCACAATGCACCAGACCATATTGAATGGTGATCGTGCCTTTCATAGGATGGGCTTGGTCAACCTGGGATGTGACATTCCTTTCTTTTGGGTAGAATGCCTTAGTAGTTCGCTCATTTGAGTCTTAGTAACCCTCATTTCATATATAAGCACTGTGTTATGTTGAAGACTCATTTTATAATTAAGCACTGGGATATTTTTGTCGATGTGTCTTACTTACTCTGTGGCAGAAGCTACAAACTGTAAGCAGGCCGATGTTGACTTCAGAGGGCATGAGGAGATCTACTCTGAATCTGGTGGAGTGATGGATTATGAGGAAGACCGAGGCCGACCGAAGAGGTAGTAGTAGTCTAATATTCCCGGGATTAAACTTTATAGTCCTTTAGCAGCTAGTCATGGTCTGTATATTGACGTGTGAGATATGTCATATTAAAACATGTGATTAAGTCCTATTATTTGCTAATCCATAAGAGCAACCAATGGAGTATAGTGTCTTGGGACGGGGGGACTGCTGGGTCACTTCAGTCAATTGCCATTGTAAAGATGCTTCAAACCAAAAATTTGGATCTATCGTTTCATGCGAGTTCACTGCTAGAGACCCTGGGAACCTTCACTTTCAAATTGTAGAATGAGTTTGACATCTATACACTGGCAGTGTAGAAGTATTTTTACATTATAAGGTCACCTAAGAGATAACACTACAGGTAAGTGTCTGTAACTAAAAGTAGAATTAGTAACCTGGAAAGTAAGGTAGTTAGAATCCACAAAGATTTCTTATATTGTTAATGTATAACTTAAATCTTTATAGAATTGTCTCTCATCTGCTGATCTTTTTACTTGTAAAATTTGCAGGAGACGACACCCCATTGGTTAAGGTGATGGAGTAGGGCTATGTTAGGATGAATTAAAGAGGCTGCATGGCCAGTTTTTTTGTTGATAGCATTCCGACCATAGATGCTTTGTGCTTTAGCTGACGGTTTCACCTCTTTAAAGTTTAACCTGCCGTGAATGGAACTTGCAGACTCAAATATTGGTAGCCATATTTTGTACTGAACTCCATTATTTTTCATCCTGTTTGCCTTTTGAGTTGGTAAGATCTTCAAATATGATGATGCGGCTGAAACTTGTGGAGCTGATTTATGTGGAGGATCTTTTTGCTGTAGATGGATAACAATTTCTTGAGAACTAGTATCTATAAACATGCGCATGTTAATAATAATACATGATGGTTTAAACATTTATTTATACGAAGGAACAACATAATTTAATTAATGAGAGAAAATTTATATATAATAATACAACAATCATCTAAATGTCGAAAAATATTATTACATTAGCATAATACGTGAATTCAAAATTAAAGGACATCACAAATGATCAATCTAGTCATGTTAATTAGATAATTATGTATTTTAGTTTAAAGGTATCTAATGTGATGGTATTTTATCGAACATTTCTTTGTAGATGATGTTTTTTTGTGAATGTTTCCTTCTAATGCTTTGGTTGCTCTGCTATAACGAGAACTTTTGTTGTCGATATTGATATCGCTCTTGAAAGGGCAACATATAGTTATTCGTGTAAGCAAACATATTATTGTAAATATAGTCCAATATTTAGGATGTTTGTCCTTGTGCTTTATTTATTATAATTACAAAACATAAACGAATTTAAAATAATATTCTTTAGTTTTGGAAGACGAAAGTTGAATTCGGGGATAAACATATACTTAGAAGCACATTGATCAGTATCATAAGTTCTGCATGTATGACGTTAAAACTTGTATATACCATATGTGTACTATTACATAAGCTTTTCGATGGATCTAAGTTTTCAGTAGCATGACTGACATATTTTTCTTCAAAATCAACCTATATACAATGGAAGATCAATTTTATTCTAGTCTACTATATATATGGTGACACTAATATACGTAAGAAATAAAGAACTTGACAACAAACATGTACGGTAGAAGGCCATTTGGTATTAAAGTATTTAAGCATTCTTTTTGGTAGTAATTGTTGGTATAATCTTTTGCTGAGTCGAAACTGAAAAATATTTTGTTTTTACCATAAAACTTAGTAGTGGGGTGATTGAACCTTAAATGCACTACTATTACCATTGGGGTAACCTAACCTTAAATGCAGTAAGGTTAGATACCAGAGTCGACTTTTTATAATATAGTCTTGAAAGTTCATTCTTGTTCAGGATTTAACTTTGATTGTGCTTCGTCAAGTACTTGTATGACCTTCTTAATATTATACTAATCTTTTTTACTTTGTGATCTTACTTTTTTCTATATAAGGGCATTTACACGTAGTATCCCGTTTAAATCATTAAAAATCGTATTGCCAAGACCAATAAATTTGTCAAAGGATAATATTAACACAGATAAATTATAGATTTCATCTTAAGATTCAAACATGGTAATGGCAAGAGAGAATACATAGTCGCAGTTTTAACTGAATGTAAAACCTTAGAATTAGTGACTTGGATGACTTTGAATGCACTACTATTACCATTGGGGTTCTGGAAGAACCAAATTATCTTTTATTGGATGCTCTTCTTCGTTTCCGACACGAAGCAAGAAATTACTGAATGTTGGATCTGTTCTTATTTTTATATTTCTTGTCATTTGAATCCTTTTCATTTGAGACCATAAATATAATTTTGGCAAGCTAGTTTTTACAGTTTCTGCTTTCGTCGATTTTGGAACTACTGATAGTACTTGACAGAAATTACCTCCCAAATTATTATTTTTCCACCAACTAGTTCATTAATATCCAATATATTTCTAAAACTCTGAGCGATTGTTTCGATCGTTTAACGCTTAGTCAAAAGCGCTTCATCCCTTATTATCACTTTTGCTTTCCTTATAAATTTAGTACTATTACTCTGCTTTGATATATTTGTGATGGTTATTTCAGTTATTTGAAGAGGTATATTAAATCTAAAGTGAGTTGTATAACCTCATAATAAAATTGCTGCTCGTACACCACTTGTTCTTATTGCTAACAATATCATGCATCTTAATCTTACATTTGCAAGTAATGCATGATATAAGAATATTATTTCGATTCCGCTGAAGGCATCTACAAAGAATAATCCTGTTATACCAGAGTCGACTTTTTATAATATAGTCTTGAAAGTTCATTCTTGTTCAGGATTTAACTTTAATTATGCTTCGTCAAGTACTTGTATGATCTTCTTAATATTATACTAATCTTTTTTACTTTGTGATCTTACCNTTGAAGAGGTATATCAAATCTAAAGTGAGTTGTATGATCTCATAATAAAATTGCTTCTGGTACACCACTTGTTCTTATTGCTAACAATATCATGCATCTTGATCTTATATTTGCAAGTAATGCATGATATAAGAATATTATTTCGATTCCGCTGAAGGCATCTACAAAGGATAATCTTGTTATACCAGAGTCGACTTTTTATAATATAGTCTTGAAAGTTCATTTTGTTCAAGATTTAGTTTTGATTGTGCTTCGTCAAGTACTTGTATGACCTTCTTAATATTGTACTAATATTTTTTACTTTGTGATCTAAATTTTTTCTATATAAGGGCATTTACACGTAGTATCCCGTTTAAATCATTAAAAATCGTATTTCCAAGACCAATAAATTTGTCAAAGGGTAATATTAACACAAATAAATTATAGATTTCATCTTAAGATTCAAACATGGTAATGGCAAGAGAGAATACATAGTCGCAGTTTTAACTGAATGTAAAACCTTAGAATTAGTGACTTGGATGACTATTAATGTATATAACAACTCGCAATTAGGACATGAATCCTTGTTTTGTTGCTTATAAAGTTCATCAATATATCGGTGAGAATGTAAGTGTGTGGGNTAGTGACTTGGATGACTATTAATGTATATAACAACTCGCAATTAGGACATGAATCCTTGTGAAAATATTTTGTTGCTTATAAAGTTCATCAATATATCTGTGAGAATGTAAGTGTGTGGCTTTGAGTGAGTTTATCTTCATAAACCATATCCAACCCAATATGTGAATAAATATTGCAAAATCTCTTCTTGAATACTCTAACTTACTGCATCAATCAATATTGCAAAAATTATCTTTTCAATAGTATTTTGAAAAATGTCACCTGCTGTCTTTTTATTTTAATTCCTTTCGGAGCAAAGTAAAAGTCACTAACAAAAAAAAAGGGATATAATGTTTCATAGGACAACGTTATAGTTGGGATTTGTTTTTTGGAAATTGGGATACTAAAATGTCAAAATGCAAAGGATCTTCAATAAACTATCGATTCTAAACTCATAAATGAACATATAAATATAACTGATACAACTATATGATTAAAATGATAGAAATTATAAAAAAAAAAAATCAAAAAAAAACTAACAAATATTAAATTTAACGTCTTTAATCATAATTTACCTTAAGAATATAGTGTAAGCTATAATGTATCAAATGTTTTATGCCTCAAAATAAATTATGTATCAATCAATTCTTTTCACGTACGTTTCTTCTGCCTAGTTTTTCTCAATTATCCATATCTTCCATGCGTGGTGGGGTTTTTTTATTTTTATAAATTGTGTTTTATATTTCTATTCAAACTAAAGCTCATTTAACAAAACGTTTCCATTATGAACATAAATTTTTCAGCTACATTCTTTTCTAAAAGTTGCCAGTATAATCTTAGTTGATTTAAAATTCTTAAATATAAGATAACATTATTTTTTTCTTGGCTGAAAATATGCAACAACCATATAAATCATTATTATCATCTTTATCGGCCTTTAAAATTTCTAAATAATTAATATATCAGGAAAGAAAATCATGTATTATCATTACGCTTCACTTAAAAAAAAGAGTTTTTAGAAGTCAATTTGCAAAATATTAATACTCTTTTTGATTTCATAGACGGTTAGATAGGCACCGACATGTCCAAGAGTCAAAGTGGATATTGGTTTTTCCCCAAATGAATTCAAAGTTATGGAAGGAAAGTACCAGTTCCATTGCAAGTTATATTTGTTAGAATCCAATAATCCCTTGAATACTGATATTGTAAATTACTGTGGACCTCCATTAAAGCTAGACGAACTAAAGCTTCTCCAATTTTATTTTACAAAATATCAACCAAGTACGTTAGTTTAAGGATTCTAATTTTATGTTGAACTAAAATATTACACTTTTATCCAACATAGAATTATTTTCTAAAAAATATTTTAGAGCTAAAATTAATAATAAAAAATATTATTTGAGTAGGAAAGCAATTCAAATATAATATAATAATATAGTATCGTAAAAATATTTTCTCAATTTCAATACTTTATGAAATCCATTTAGCAGTAATACTTTTATTTTCTCTTGGTATGCAATATTATAGAATGATAATGTATTGAGTTATTTATTAACGTATGTCTTTTCTTCTAAAAATTGGTTTCCTAACTTTTCATGAAATCACTAATACATATTCACTTAGTTTTTTGCTTTAATTAGACACATCATTTTTTGACATGTTTATAGTATCGACATAAATAATTTCGAGATAATGAGATTGAATTCTAACACTACCGTGATTGCTAATTTGTAGCATTATGTCTATGCTCAAAAGTAATTATACTAATAGGATTCCTAAAGGTAATCATGAAGGATTCCTAACGTATAGTATTATGTCCTAAAACTACTAGGATTATAAGGCTAACATCTAGAATTTTGGTTATACCCTTTTATTATGAGTTATTATTCTTAATATTATAAGGTTATTTTTGTAAACCGACATTATATTCATACTTTTATAATAATATAGATAGAGATAGATAGATAGATATATATATGTAGTTAAGAGCAGTTGATTTATACTATCTAGTCATCTAAATAACTAAAGCGAGATTAGTAACATGAAAAGAAAAGTAGTTTGCTTGCTACAATAGGTTAAGATTCTTTGCTACAATAGGTTAAGATTCTAATATGTAAATTATTTTTAAAGTGTCTGTGTATAAAAGTTAATCTTCATAATGTGGTATACTATGAGTAACAGTGAGGGCTTTGATGGTAGGTTGATGAACTCTATGGTCTAGGACTGGGACCAAAAAGCAAGAAGGATAAAACGATTAGTCCATCAATATTATAGATTTGTCTTAGATGTAATTAATAGTCAGGGGATTGCATTCTTCCGGCCTATATTTTTGAGTAATTC